ACACACACACACACACACACACACACACACACACACACACACACAAAAACACATATTCTCTCCCTCTCTCACACACACACTCTCTCTCACGCACAGACACACACCCTCACTCTCTCTCCCACACTCACACATACACACACACTCTCTCACACACACACACACTCACACTAACACTCTCTCTCACACACACATACACACACACACTCTCTCTCTCTCACATGCATGCACACACATACACATACACACACACACTCTCTCTCACATGCACATGCGCGCGCGCGCGCGCACACACAAATATAAATCTATGGGGTGAATTTGTATTTGCAGATTTGTAATTGCAGAACCATTCTATTTTGTTCAAACAACACACAATGTGTAGACAGTCAAGGTGGCATTTTATAAATTCCTACTGTGGGAATAAAATCAGTCTGACTCCAAGCTAAAACACAGCCAGATTCTAAACAAGGTTGCTGGGATTTTCATATTAATCAATCAAAGCCTGCATCTCCTTTCTAAGTGATTAAAGATTTAACTGCCATCTTAGGTTTATTCAATACATTCACATCAGTTCTCTGACCCTTTGATCTTTTACTTATAAATTCTGTGTGTGATGCCACCTCTCTCACTAACACTTGAAGAAGGAGCGAGACTCTGAAAGCTTGTGTTTTCAAATAAACCTGTTGGACTATAACGTAGTGTCGTGTGATTTTTGACCTTGTCCACCCCAGTCCAATGCCAGCACCTGCACATCATGAATGAGGATTGCTGTTGCTGGTATGTAAATGACGCAGGAATGGCCTCCAACACCATGAGTTGTTTGAGCCACTTTGCCATTATCTTCCGCCTCACCCTCAAGGTTGCTGGGTAACCATCCCAAAGCCGCTGCTTTTCAAATTAGGATTAAGGTCACTTCTAAAAGTGGCTGCACAGAATGGTGTGGCAAGATTTATTTTCCTGCAATTCCACTCCACCTCAGGGTCCAGAAAGGGTGCTTTTGAATGTATGGAGTCCCGCTCCTTCAGGATGTAAAATATTGCATATGATTATAGGCAAACAACAAACAAATCCACTCCCTAGTACCTGACTCCTAACAGCCCTCTGAAATGGTTTGCGTGCTGGGGAGAGGTTGGATAGTCTGGACTGACGGTGACTTTATACAGATTTATAAAATCATGAGGGGTATTGATAACATGATAATATTAGTGTGGTATGGTGGCTCAGTGGTTAGCACTGCTGCCTCACAATGACAGGGACCTGGGTTCAATCCCACACTCGGGTGACTGTCTGTGTGGAGTTTGCACATTGTCCCTGTGTCTGTGTGGGTTTCCTCTGGGTTCTACAACTATCTGCCTAAGGCTTATTAGCGCTGGATGTTAAATTCTGGCCTCGCCAGTGATGCCCATACCTCAAAACAAAACCAATCCATGCAGGCATTTATGTTGCATTTAAACTTCTCTCTTCCACCCCCATTCTTCTTCATCTACTTGAGAATAAACCTTTCTTTTCTATGCCCTCATATGTTAGCGGGTAGGCAATAGCCTAGTGGTATTATTGCTAGACTATTAATCCAGACACCCAGGTAATATTCTAGGGGGTTCAAATCCTCCCACGGCGGGCGGTGGAATTCAATAATAATCTGGAATTAAGAGTCTAATGGTGACCATAAAGTCATTGCTGATTGTCAGGAAAAACCCATCTGGTTCACTAATGTCCTTTAGGGAAGGAAACTGCCATCCTTACCTGGCCTGGCCTACATGTGACTCCAGACCCACAGCATGTGGTTGACTCTTAACTGCCCTCTGGGCAATTAGGGATGGGCAATAAATGTTGGTCTAGCCCGTTACGCCCACAACACATGAATGAATTAAAAAAAGTTCGTCAAGGGTCCTCAGAATAAGGGGTTGCATGTTTTAGACAGAGATGAGGAGGAATTTCTTCTCTCAGAGGGTAGTGAATCTGTGGATAGAGGAGAAGATAGGTGGAGAGGAGACAGACAGGTCAAAGGGGCAGGGATGGAGCCAGTAAAGGTGAGTGTAGGTGGAGAGTTAGGGAGGGGATAGGTCAGTCCAGGGAGGATGGACAGGTCAAGGGGGCAGGGATAGGTGGGAGAAAGGACAGGTTAGGGAGGCGGGGACAAGCTAGGCATTAGTGAACCAGATGGATTTTTACAACAACTGACCGTGGTTACATGGTCACTGTTAGACTATCTTTTTATTACTCCAGCTTTTAAAAAATAAATCCAGTTTTCACTACCTACAGTGGTATAATTCAATGCCATGTCCCCTGCATTGCTAGTCCAGTAACAATACCACTAGACCAATGGTGGAGGGTGTTTCTTGAGGTGAGGGTATAGGATGAGTGGAGGTTGATGAGGATCATTAGAGTAAAAGACTGTAGTAATTGGAATGAGGTTGGCCAGGTAGATCTCATTGAGTATGAGTTCCCTGTTTGGGGCTGTTAAACTGGGGCCAGTCAGGGTGTCCTGGCTGACAGGAATAAACAGAAGTCTCAGGGTTTCTTCTCACGCTAGGGACTGACTGTGAGTTGGCTGGTCAGAGTCTGTATACTGTGCACGTGTAAATAAAGGGTGATGGGATACCGGCCTCTGTGGAGTTATTTCAAAGACAAAATGGCGGAGGAAGCTTTAGGCTACAACTAAATGATGACCTTCCTTTTTTTTTGGGAATGCAGGAGAACTGCGGGCTGACAGTTTGCAATGGGATGATTTACATTCTCGGTGGCAAAGGCAACATGGCGGAAGGCACAGACAGAGTCTTCTGCGTCGAACCCGCCTCAGGCAAACTAATTCTCGTCTCCAGGATGCCAAGGTGTGCCAGTTACCATGGGTGTGTCACTATCCACCGGCGGGTGAGAAGATAACCATTGGGCTGGCTCACAACATCCAGGCCGTCAGTCTTTTTACTGTAATATGCCTGATGGTTCAAGTTGTACTCAACATCCTGGCACTTATCATTTATCTTAGAACCTTCTGTTACATGCAAAGTTGCCCTCAAGTGTTGTGTTTTTTGGTCAGAAATGGAAAGGATTTAATATATGAGTGAATAGCCAGTTGTATTTGTTAAGCTACTGACCAATCACTGACCAGTATGGAATGCAGCCTCTCTCCCTTACCCCATCACTGGCTGGAATTGACCCCCTAAGTCTTCCCCCTTCCCCATTACTGACCAGTAATGACCCCTAAACCTCCCCACCTGCCCCGTTACTGACTGGTACTCAGCCTGTTGGGCTGATAGGTTATGGGTTTTCTGAAAGTTAGATGGTGCTGCATGTTGGAGGCAGTCAATAATCTTTACTCAGTGTGAGGTGAGGTGAGAGTGACTGTCCTCGACATCAAGGCCACACTTCATCAAATGAGGCATCAAGGAACCCGAGCAAAACCAGACTCAATGTGAATCAGGGGAGTATTCTCCACTAGTTGGAGTCTTACCTGACACACAGGAAGATGGTCGTGGTTGTTGGATATCAGTCATCTCAGCTCCAGGACATCCAGGATGCAGGAGTTCCTCTGAGTAGTGTCCTAGGCCTAAACATCTTTAGCTACTTCAACAATGACCTTCCCTCCATCATAAGGTCAGATGTGGGGATGTTCGCTGACGATTGCACAATGTTCAGCACCATTCGTGACTCCTCAGATACTGAAGCAGTCCGTGTTCAAAAGAAACAAGATCTGGACAATATCCAGGCTTGGGCTGACGAGTGGCAAGTAATATTCATGGCACACAAATGTCAGATAATGATCATCTTAAATAAGAGAGAATCTAACCATCGCCCTTGACATACAAGGATGTTACAATCACTGAATCCCTCACTATGAACATCCTTGGGGTTACCATTGACTAGAAACTGAACTGAACTAGCCATATAAATACTGTGGCTACAAGGGCAGGTGAGAGGCTAGGAATCCTGTGGCAAGTAATTCACTTCCTGACTCCCTCCAAAGCCTGTGAACCATCTACAAGACACAACTCAGGATTGTGATGGAATACTCCCTTCTTGCCTCAAGAACAATACTCAAGAAGCTTGACACCATCCAGGACAAAGCAGCTGCTTGATTGGCACCACATCCACAAGCATCCACTCCCTTCCCCACTGACGCTCAGTAGCAGCAGTGTGTACCATCTCCAAGATGTCCTGCAGAAATTTGTCCAGACTCCTTAGACAATCCTTCCAAACCCCTGACCATTTCCATCTAGAAGGACAAGGGCAGCAGATATATGGGAACACCACACTCTGCAAGTTCCCCCTCAAGCCACTGACCACCTTGATATTGAAATCTATCACCATCAAGAAGGATGTGAGTGCATTGGAGAGAGTGCAGAAATGATTTACAAGAATGGCTGCAGGAATGAGAAAATTCAGGGATGAGGACAGATTAAAGAAATTGGGACTGTTCTCCTTAGAGAGAAGAAGGCTGAGAGGATATTTGATCGAGTTATTCAAAATCATGAGTGGGCTGGAGAGAGTTGATAGGGAGAAGCCATTCCTGCTCACAAAGGGAACAAGAACAAAAGGGCATAGATTTAAAGTGATGTGCAATTTAAGTAAGGGTGATGTGAGAAAACGCTTTTTCACTCAGCAAGCAGTTGGTGTCTGGAAAACACTGCCTGGAAATGGGGGTGGGGGCAGGCTAAGTTGAGGCATTCAAGAGGGGGCATTGGATGGTTATTTGGATAGAAATGGTTCAGAGGGATGTGAGGAAAAGGTAGGGGATTGGCACTGGGTAATAATACTAATGTAATAAGACAGACAGAATGGACCGTTAACAATCTTGTGATACTGTAATCCAAAGTACAGGTCAGATGAGGAGTGTGCTTCCTTGCATTCTCTCATTTCTGCTGACAAACAGCCTTTTTAAAATTGAACTTTACTCATGGGTCCTGTTCTGAATGTCTTGCTTCCCTTTCTGACCCAGTCAGTGTTGCATCATTTCCTGACTATCATCTGTTGGTGCCTGAGGTCTCTGAGGTGACACTGCAAAGAAAAGAAATAACTCAGTATATCTTGGCGATAGTAAGAACTGTTGATGCTGGAGTCAGAGATAACACAGTGTGGAGCTGGAGGAACACAGCAGGCCAGGCAGCATCAGAGGAACAGAAAAGCTGACGTTTCGGGTCTGGACCCTTCTTCAGAAATGGGAGCGGGGAAGGGGGCTCTGAAATAAATAGACGGGGAGTGTGGGTGCGTTAGCTGGTAGGTGGTGGTGTGGATTGATCAGTGAGGTGGGAGAGAAGATGGACAGGTCAAGGAGGCGGGAATGAAGCTAGTAAAGGTGAGTGTAGTAGGTAGTGGTGGGGATTGGTCAGTGAGATGGGAAGAGGGATAGGTGGGAGAAAAGACAGACAGATCAATGATGGGGGGAGCTGGTCTTGGGATGAGGTTGGGGGTGGGGAGATTTTGAAGCTAGTAAAGTCCACATTGAGACCATTGGGTTGTAGGGTTGCCAGGCGGAATATGAGGTGCTGTTCTTCCAGTTTCTGGGTGGCATCGTTGTGACACTGGAGGAGGCCCAGGATGGACAAGTCGTCCAGGGAGTGGGAGGGGGAGTTGAAGTGGTTCGCGACAGGGAGGTTTTGTCATTTGTCGCGAACTGAGCGTAGGTGCTCCACAAAGCAGTCTCCGAGCCTCCGCTTGGTTTCCCCGATGTAGAGGAGGCCACAACGGGAACAGCGGATACAATAGACCACATTAGCGGATGTGCAGGTGAACATCTGTTTAATGCGGAACGTTTTCTTTGGGCCTGGGTTTGAGGTGAGGGGGGAGGTGTAGGGGCAGGTGTAGCATCTCCTGCGGTTGCAGGGAAAAGTGCTGGAGGTGGTGGGGCTGGTGAGGAGTGTGGAGCGGACGAGGGAGTCGCGGAGAGAGTGGTCCCTCCGGAAGGCAGATAGTGGTGGGGCGGGAAATATATCCTTCGTAGTGGGGTCAGAATGCAGGTGGCGGAAGTGGCAGAGAATGATGAGTTGAATCCGGAGGTTAATGGGGTGATACGTGAGGACAAGGGAAAATTCTGTCTTTGTTTTCATTGCAGGGAGGGGGTGTGAGGGCTGAGGTGCGGGAAATGCAAGAGATGCGGTTGAGGGTGTTTTCGACCACTGAGAGGGGGAAGTTGCGGTCCTTGAAATATGAGGACATCTGGGATGTTTGGGAGGGGAACGCCTCACCTTGGGAGCAGATGTGGTGGAGGCGAAGGAATTGGGAGTAGGGGATCACTTTCTTGGAGAAAGGTAGGTGAGAGGAGGTGTAGTCTAGGTAGCCGTGGGAGTTGATGGGCTTGAAATAGATATCAGTTTCGAGGTGGTCACCAGAGATGGAGACAGAGAGGTCCAGGAAGGAGAGAGAGGTATTGGAGATGGTCCAGGTGAACTTAAGGTTGGGGTGGAAGGTGCTAGTAAAGTTGATGAACTGTTCGAGCTCCTCGTGGGAGCATGAGGCAACACTGATACAGTCATCGATATAACGGAAGAGGTGGGGGATAGGGCCAGTGTAGCTGCGGAAGAGGGATTGTTCCACATATCCTACAAAGAGGCAGGCATAGCTTGGGCCCATGCGGGAGCCATGGCCAACCCCTTTGTCTGTAGGAAGTGGGAGGAATTGAAAGAGAAGTTGTTGAGGGTGAGGATGAGTTCGGCTAAGCGGATGAGGGTGTCAGTGGAGGGGGACTGGTCGGGCCTGCGGGACAGGAAGAAGCAGAGGGCCTTTAGGCCATCTGCATGGGGAATGCAAGTGTATAGGGACTGGATGTCCGTGGTGAAGGTGAGGTGTTGGGGACCAGGGAATCGGAATTTTTGGAGAAGACGGAGTGTCACAGACGTAGGTGGGGAGTTCCTGGACCAAGGGGGAGAAAATGGAGTCGAGATAAGTGGAGATAAGTTCGGTGGGGCAGGAGCAGGCAGAGACAGTGGGTTGACCCGGGCAGTCAGGTTTGTGGATTTTGGGAAGGAGATAGAAACGGGTGGAACGGGTGGAGATGTTCCCATGCATCTGCTGCTCTTGTCCTTCTCAATGGAAATGGTTGTGGATTTGGAAGGTACTGTCCAAGGAGCCTTGGTGAATTTGTGCAGTGCATCTAGTAGATAGTATACACTGCTGCGCTGAGCATCGGTGGTAGAGGGAGTGGTTTTCAATGAGGTACCAGTCCAGCAGGTCTGTCTTATCTTGAATCGCGTTGGGTTTTCGAGTGAGTGGAGAAATTCTCTTCCCCTGTCTCAGCCATGATGGCAAGCCAGGTAGCAAAGATGGGAGGTCAGAGTTCATCTGTGTCCCCTCAACCTGCACCCTTAGATATTGCACCCCTTCCTACATGCAAGATACACTGACACCTCATGTAGTTCAACAGCCTTAGACCAACCTCAATAGCCTATAATACAATGCAAAATGCACGATAGGTGGATCGTAATTACCTTCCCTGCCCTGCATCTCCCTCCCAAAGCAAGGCCCGAGTGATGGTTTTATTCACCACAATTAATGTGCACCACTTTAATAACAAGGGTTCTTAAAGGAAGGTTTCCTTGCCTCACTAACTTTTGTAGTTTGCAGAGATATGTTCTAAGTGTACTTCTCAAAATTGTGAATTGTGTCCTTGAATGGAACGCTGGATGTGAATATTCCGACGATACCTCTGTTCTTACTAATCCTATAATGTTAATGCTGTGTATGTTTGTTAGGTGAATTATTTCTCCATTCTCTAGTATTCTTGCCCTAACTCTACCCTTTACCGAGGCGGTGCCACCCTTAATTCACTGGGATACCGAGGCAAAAGGTTCAGCAACTGGTTCTGCCGGAAGAGGATGAGACCATTCAGCCTGTTTGAGGTTGTCCTGTTCATATAGGTCAAGGCTGGTCTGCAGTGCACCTCCCTGTTTGGTTCTGTAACTCACTGATAATCAGATAAAAGACTGTGAGAGTGAGGGGTACAGCGAAGGAGCTGGGAGCTAATAGTCTGTTCACTTGTGGGGAGAAGGAAGATTCCTCCAGAGATTTCAGTTCACAGGATGGTGCAGGATGTACCGACTTCAGAAGCAGAAGCTGGAGTAGGCCGTTCGGCCCCTCAAGCCTGCCCCTTTCTGTGTTTACAAGCCCCTCGATCAGCCAGAGGACTGTGGTGCTCTGGAGGTTCTCGTTCCCTTGATTGCCCGTAAATGGCTTACATCCTCCCACCACCAGCTCCCACAGGAGATGTCAGATTACCCACTGTGTGAGCAGCATAGCAAGATCCCACAAGTGCCAACATGGCGA